GGAAACCACGGTGGACTGATTTAAAATCAAGGTGATTTAAATTACGAAGTGGGAAGCCTCAATTTCAATCATCCATTTTCATAAACTTTGTACTTCAGCAATTTTCTAAAGAAAGGTGCCTCCTCATTAAAACATGCTGAGTTACAACTAAACAGAGCCTTTACGCGAGATTTGGTACACCTTTTTGCTGCCTAAGAGAATACACTATAACAATATGCATTTATTTAAGCAATTATATAGCTTAATATTTCAGATTCTTATTAACTGAACATCTTTAGCATGTTAGAAAATGGTAAAAAGACATATAGCTTATTTACTAGATAGTTAACTTTTTGCTCATTATTTGTGTCAAGCTGCATTAGGATGGTGACTGGAATTTAATTAAACACACAAAACAGCATCTAAAATGCATTTTTATTAAACAAAACCTTAAATGTTTTGGATCCATAAACTTCTCTTATCAAAACAGGCTTCACATTTAAAACTAAATTAAAGAAACGGCGGGATTAACTGTAGCCAGTGAATTAAATTGATTATTTCAGGTCAGCCTGGGAAAATTTTCAAACACGCCTAAGTGAGAGAGACTGGAGTTTAAATTCCTAGTCTCGCCTAAGTCTCTTTAAAATGAGACCGGCTCCTAAATTACTTAGGCTGACGTATTGTGCCATATTTCTAAAGCCTGAACTCAAAAAGATGTTTCCCCCTGATTCTTTCTATTAAAAAACCCTTTGAGTTCAAGGCTGCCTTTCTGTATAAAGAATCTCATGGATTCAGCAAATTTTTAACAGGGAGGGGGATTAACCATTAGAACAGCTGACTCTAGGACTGGGTGGAGTATCTATTACTTGGGGTCTTTTCATCCAGCTCACACGTCACTCTAAAACCAATGTTCTAGCTCATCCACCAGATCTGGGCTGGAGACAGGAATGGCTCTCTGGCCTGGAAATCTACTATGATGCATGACTGACAAGAATTAAGAGGCAGCATGGTCTAGTGGATAGGGGCACTGTCCTAGGAGTCAGGACTCCTGAGTTCTATTCCCAGATCTGCGACCGAGCTGCTGCGTGACCTTGGGCAAGTCCTTTCCCCTCTTGGTGCCTCTGCCTCCCCATCCACCCCTCGTCTATTCAGACTGTGAGCTCCTCCAGAGCAGGGACTCTCTCATATTGTGTGTCTGTGCCTGGCACAACAGGATGGCCCCTCTCCCACCCCCAGCTGTGCACATGGGGGGACCCTGATCTCAGTTGGAATCTTGAGTTACAACCATAATACAAATAATATTGAATATGTGCGTTAGACCAAGGGTTCAGGCGTCTGATGGGACGAATTGATTAAAAGCAGCAGTCAAAAAGCAAACAAATTACACAGTGCCCTAAGAGCGGGATGAAGGGTCTTCCAATGCCAGCATATAAACCAATGGTGCAGTCACACACAGCACTAGGCATGCCACCTCCTACAGGGCCCAGAATCGCAGGTGGCTCCTAGTAGGCTGAGAGGCCTGGAACAGTGGAGAGCAGTGAGGGCTGCTCACCTTGGATCTGAGCGAAGGATGGTAAAGAGGAGAGATTGGGAGCATCCCTTGCTTTCTGGCAGCACTAGGACAGTCATAGATTCTAAGGCCGGAAGGGCCCCCTGAGATAGGCTGACCTCTCTCACACAGGCCATAGGCGTGCCCTGAATCGAGTCCTGGCTGAGATCAGAAGGCAGCAAATTCAGAACTGATCAGAGGAAAGGATTTCCACGCACGGCACCATTCACCTGCAGAACCCATTGCCACAGGCTACGACTGAGGCTGGGGGCTGAGCAGGAATCCAGAAGGGACTGGCCATTTCTCTGGTGAACAAGACTACATGGAGTTGGAAGGGCAAAGGCTGGAAAGCCAGACAGAGTTTTGGATGGGACATCAAACCTCCTGCCTCAGCGATGAAGCTGCTCTTATCCAGTCAGAGTGGGCAGGAGACTACTGAAGGGGGCCAGATTATTCCCCTCAGCTGCTCCCACAGGAGGCGTCTTGTGCCTGCCTCTGCAGCAGCTGGTTTCAGAGATGGGGCTAGAAGGACTTCAGGCCTGATCCAGCCTGGCAATTAGCCTGAGTTCAAAGTCATTCACTGCAGTAACTCCCAGCCAGCTCTTTGGGGCAGGGAGTACCTTTGTCCTCTTCGTACAGCGCCGAGCACAATGGAGTCCTGCTGCGGGACTGGGGCTCCTGGTGCTACCAACACATATGAAATACACAGCAATATCAATACTCATGCTGGGTAGAATTACACACAAGCACCTTGCTGAATCAGAGCCTACGACTGGGTGGATAACAGAGAGCAGAATCAGAATAACCTGTTCCATTATTATTACTCGTATTACAGAAGTGTCTACAGGCCCTGGCCAAGACTGGGAACGCTTTGTGATGCCAAGAGCCACACAGCCCCCCACCATGTCTGGTACTGCAGAGACACACACTGAAAGACAATCCCTACCCTGCACCAGGGCTAGTGGCTAGGGCACTGAACTGGGACTCAGGACACCTAGGTTCTATTCCCAGGTCCGCCACCAACTTTGGGCAAGTCCCTTTCCCTCTCTGTGCCTCAGTTTCCCCTCTCACCCTGTGTCTTTCAACACCCTGTCTATGCTAGGCAGAGTATACCAGCAAAGATGTCTCCACTGCATTGGCCGTGGGTTCTACACTCCTAGCCAACATAGCTGGAAAACCTTTTACCTTAGACAAGGTCTCAGTTGGAAGCTCTTTGTGCAGAGCCTGTCCCTCGCTGTGTGTCTGGGCAGTGCCCACCACAACTGGGAGCGCTAGGTCTCAGCCAGAGGTCTGGAAAGCATCCAGAACCATCCCCTGACCTCAGTCGGGGGGATGGGGAGGGGGAAGAGAGTCTAGGTGCTACCACAATACACCTAATAAATAGGTATTAGCAGCAGGGAAAAGATGGTGTTATTTATTTTAACCCTAAGGTCTTGTCTCAGTTGCTGCTGAGGCACACTAGCCCCAATGGTATTTGGGCTTCTGGTTCTGGTGGCAGGGTCTAGTTAAGGCACTTGGAAGTTTTAGGATTAGCTGTACCAGATCAAACCAGTGGGCTCCATCAGCCCAGCACCCCACCTCCCTAAGGCAGCTGGGTGGGGAGCAATTCCTTCCCAACCCCTCAACCGGAGCCCTGACACGTGAGGACTGGTGACTTCTAGGGCTCGTTGTAGTTCCCCACTTCGGAGCCTACAAGGGTAGGAAAGGAGCAGAGAACTGGGGGTGGAGATAGCCTGAATTGATGGGGGTGTGGAAAATGGAGTTTGTTATATAGATATATCCATCCTTTCTAGCTCCCTAGGTTGTGAAAAAATAGCCCTTTAAAAACAGAGCGTCACCAACATGCTCTTGACCGCCCCCCCGCAACAATCGCCACCTTAACTTTGAACTCTAATGAGGACCGTCCCAACACATCCACACAATCAGCTGTTTCATGTTGAGCCATTCAGCCAAAATGGGTGGCTGGCTCAGTCACAAACTCTTCTCCAGAGCCTACAAGCCCAGCTGCCCAAACCTCCCCGCTCCGCCACCTCCAAATTTCTAAGGAAGGCAACACCGAGGACATCTTCATGAAAAGTACATAGGCAGAAGAGAATCTTGACTGGAGTCCATAGGTGGTACAGTTCTAGTGAGCTACAAATCTGGAGGATGCACCCAGCACATGAGCCAGTCACAGGGTTAATTCAGTAGGAACTGTCAGCTTGTTGGGGCAGGGACCATCTTTCTGTTCTGGGTCTGTACAGCACCCAGCACAAGGAGTCCTGGGCTATGACTGGGGCTCCTACATAGTAGTGCAATACAAATAGATTTGCTGATTCTAAAGCCAGAAATGACCACTGTGATCATCTACTCTGAACTCTGGTATAACAGGCCATATAGGTCAGCCCCGAATTAATTCCTGATTGAACTAGAGCAGATCTCTTAGAAAAATCATCCAATTTAGTTTAAAAGTTGCCTATGATGGAGAATCCACTGCAGCCCTTAGGAAGTCATCCCAGTGTATTAATTCCCCTCGCTGTTAAAACAGAAACACTTTATTTCTAGTCTGAATTTGTCTAGTTTCCAAGAACTGGAGCTTGTGAGGCCTTTGTCTGCTAGACTGAATGGCCCATTATCAAATTTCTGTTCCCCACGTAGTGCTCACAGATCAAATCAGGCCTTCTCTTTGTTAGGCTAAACAGATTGAGTTCCTCAAGTCTCAAACACATAACAACAAAACACTTCCGGTTTGAAGGGATTAATTTACTCTGTCACTGTATTTCTGCCCTGGTTGGCGAGACAGAAGAGCTCTGGGTTACGGGATAATACAGAAAGTGCCACACTATATAAGAACTAGGTGTTCAAATATGATGGTTTACAGGCCCAATATATCACGTCAGAGCTGCCGTTTCTATGCTGTACAGTGTCGAGTCAACTCCAGCCCGGCCCTTCCTCCATGCCGAAGGATTCTGCTATCTGTGTTTTTCCCAATGTGTTGGCTTTTTTTATGGCACACAAATCCTCATCTCTTCCCCCCACACCACATTTCAGCCCCCAAATCCACTGTGCCTGTCTGACCCCCAAAGCAAACAAGGAACTCGCTGCCAACCAAGGCCCCGGAAGCAGGTCTCACCAGACACCACCACAACAAAACTTTTTCAAAACAAGACAGGGACCCAGAAATGCAGCAGCTAGAGAAATAATGGGCAGCAGAGGATGGGACAAAGCGGGGGAAACCCACGTTCCTGGGGAATCCCAGCTGCTCTCCAAGCCCCCCATATTCAGAACCAGCACTCCAATAATGGGGGCTTCCTCCCCCCCCCCCGTCCCTATAAGCTCAGCTGCTTCCACACACCCAACTGTCTCAGCGACTCCCATTTTACACACGCCCCTCCAGAGACGGGGGTGAAGGGAGTAGAGACACCCCAGAGGTAAATGGGGGTTCTGGATTTGTGGGAAAGTCCATATTGCTGGAGTGGGGGTACACACTTACCATCCATTTCTGCCAGAAGTCAGGCTAGGACCCAGGCTGGGAATCAAGAAGGTACGGGGGTGGGGGCTCCCTGGTTGGAGGGAGTCGAGGAGGGGGGCTCCCAGTTTGGGAACCAGAAGAATCCAGGGGATACTAGGTTGGGGGGGGAGGGCTCCGCAGGCTAGGGCTGGCCCCTGCGTGGGGGCTCAGGAGATGGACCCCAGTCCACAATAAGAGCGCGTGCGGGGATGGAGGTGTCCCAGTACCACAGCTGCTCCCACCCCGAGACGGGGGGATGTAGGCGCCAAGGGGGGGGATTTGACAGGGAATGGGGGGATTCTGACTCCTACGGGGGTCCCCACCCCACTCGGGAGAGGGGTGCCGCTGGGGATGCCCCTGGGAGCCCAGCTAGGGCGGGTCCAGCCCCTCGAGGGGCTCCGAGGCGGAAGCGGGGCTCCGGCCCCGATCGGGGGTCCGAGGCAGGGGCGGGGCCGAGGGGGCGTGGTCCAGGCGGGGGCCTCCGGCGGGATCGGATCCAGGCGCCGCCGCTGTATCCGTTCGCAAGCTACGCCGCTCGCGGAAATGCCCGCGCCACGTGACCCGCCCCGCTGCTGGGAAAGCCCCGCCCATCATGCAAAGGAGCGGGGGATTCCACGCAGGCGCGGAAGCGACGGATCCGGAAGAATGGCAGCGCCAGCGAGGAAGGGAGCAGGGGCGAATCCCAAACCAGAGAGGGAGGGGCCGAGAAATAGAGAGAGGCGGCAGGTACCAGGGCAAGGCGTCACAGAGCCATATGGGTGGGGTGACCGGATGTCCCGATTTAAAGCGACCGTCCCGATTTTTGGGTCCTTTTCTTATGTAGGCTCCTATTACCCCCCACCCGCTGTGCCGATTTTTCACACTTGCTGTCTGGTCACCCTATATATGGGACCCATAGGCTGGGTGTCATGTGACCATACGGACTTGCGTGTGTGTGACACTATTAGGCTATATAGGCACTAGGGTGCAGCACTCTAGGATTGGAGGGGCAATAGGATGGAGCATTATATAACAGCAGTTCTCAACTAGGGGTGCGGGGCCCCAAGCAGGTTTGAGAGGGAGGGAGGCGTCCACCAAGCAGGGCCAGTGTTAGACTCACTGGAGCCCAGGGCAGAAAGCCAAAGCCCAGCGGTGCAGAGCTCAAGCCTGAGGTCGTAAGCTCTGCCACCTGGGGCAGAAGTTGAAGCCTGAGCATCTTAGCTTTGCAGCACCCGCTGTGGCGTGGGGCTTTTATATGCAGAAAACCAGCTGTGGCAGCACAGGTGGGCCATGGAGGTTTTATAGCATATTTGGGGGGCAGGGGCTCAGAAAGAAAAACGTTGAGAACCCCTGTTATATGGGAGCCACACATTGGGCAGAATAGGTCCATATGGGCACCAGGACAGGGTCGAGGGAGAAGCACTGCTGGGACATATAGCGACTGGGAATTTATGGGCTAGTATAAGGACCTAGCCAATGAGTGCTCTGGGGTTATTTAGAAACTACAGTGGGTCATTTTGGGGCCATATAGGGACCAGTTCATGAAACATTGGGACTAGGGTGGGGCACCCCTGGATTATACAGGGACAGGGACCAGCATGGGGTGTTACAAGATTATATATGGGGCTGCACATGGACATTACAGTGCCATACATTTTGTGACAAGGCCACAAAGGAAACAGGAAGCGTAGGAGTCTTACCACAGCTGCTGTGGCCTCCCCAATGGGTTTTTAGGCCAAATGGCCACAGCAATAAATGGCCGAGTCAATGTTTGATGGCCCTACAGTCGCCCCGGGGGCTTCGGACCTCAGAGGTGAACCCTCAAGGCTGTTTCTTGGCAGAGCTATTTTTCTATTCTCTGTCTCTAGGACACCATGGGCACCATTAGCAAATAAACTCACTCACACCAACCTCCCTTAAGGAGGACACAGCCACATCACCTTACCTCTTCCCCCAGAAGTCTCTGAGGGAGACCACTCCTTGTTGTAAATTCCTTTGCTGGTGCGAAGATCATTCTCCTAGGCCCTCACTTTGACCATGTCACCCCTCTCTCTGCTTCCCTTCTCTCCTAGATCAGTCATAAACTGCTTCTCTTCCCTTTCAAGGCCCTCCATGGACAATCCCCACCTGACCTATAATCTCTCACAATGGTGCTGGAACAATTTGTATAGTGGAGGTGCTAAGAGCCATTGAACCAAACTGTAAACCCTGTTCCTAATGGAAACCACTTCAAGCCAAGGAATGCAGCAAAACCCCTAGTTCTAGCAACTATGATTTCTCATTTAGTACAAAGAAGCCAATTCCCATCCCCAATCAGCCTGTGCTGCCAATATCCACTGCCCACTTGTTACACTTGTCAACAAAGTCCCTTCATCCTTTCTCCCATGCTATCACTCATGTTTGTGAGGAGCTCACTGTAAACACCCACAGAGCCATCTCATTGTCCTCCTTCAAACTATCCTTTGTTGGGATGCCTGTCACGGAGTCTCCGGGGTGAAGCTCTGGAACTACTCCCTATGAAGCCAGACAGGAATCTGGGGGAGCATGCCTCCTCTCTCCGAGCATATTGTCACCATGGTAAGAAGCTTACACAGCTTTGACCTGCCTGGGTCTGACCTCGGAGCATTCAGCATCCCCTTCCATACCGTGCACTTGGCGCAACAAGTCCACCCAAGCGGGGTTCCTGGGGAAGCCAGAGGGCCCTGCACCCCAACTCTGCAGTCAGATGTGACTCTCGGCCAGCCGGTAAAACAGAAGGTTTATTAGTTGACAGGAACACAGTGTAGGACAGAATTTGTTAGCATAGATATCAGTGACTTTCAGCCAAGTCCATCTTGCAGGGGAGGGGATTCCAGAGCCAGGGCTCTAGCCCTCCCCCTATGCCCCAAGCCAGCCACGACTGACTAGCTTCCAGTTGCCTGGCCCCTGCCCTGCCCGTTGTTCCTCTTCCGGCCTTTGTCTCACTTCCCGGGCCAAGAGTCACCTGGTCGCATCCCCCTCCTAGGTCTCAAGTTATGAAGGGGTGGCCATAGCATCCATGCAGGCAGCTGGAGCAGCCCCTGTCAAAGTCACACGCCCTTATTCCCACCACCTAGACATTGGTGCAATACACAGGGAAACTGAGGCACACAGCATTCATGCAAAACAGTAAGACTCACATAGGCTCACGTACAACATAACAAGGGAAAAGCCCCACTATGTCACAATGGCTACAAAAAGCATGACGTTTAGGTAGTTGGTGTTGTGAACCCACTGCCCAGCATGCAGACCAGGATTGTCTCATTGCTCCTGTCTGGCTGTATCTATCTGTCATTTCTTGATTTATAGATTGTGAGGTAGGTTCTATGTTTGTACAGCACTTTGCTGAATGGGGCCCTCATCCTGGGCATGCTGAGAGAAGAGATTGCCTCTCTAAGGCTGAACTCCTGATAAAAGGGTGATTAAAAGACAGACCTGGAAAGCCCCCAGAAAAGGGATTAAAGATTCCCTGGGGAAACTGAGGCAAGGCAAGTGGTGGCCAGCGAGTGCTATGGAGGCACTAGAGAGATGGGCTCTAGGCCTAGCTTCACTTTAAGTGCCCCTAGCTTCCTAACTTCCAATAGAAAGGATGCTAGTCGCTCCCCTAGCTAGAGGGCTGGGAAGCGGGTGGAAATATTAGCAGCAAACAATGGAAGCCCCTTGAACTCCTGATCCCTGGCTCCCAGCCCCGGAGACGAGTCCCTGGGGCTCCACGTCCGGTCGCTGTGGGCCCAGGCTGGCTGGCTGCTGTGCCGGGCTCGGGGGCTCTAGGGACAGGTTTCACGCGGCTCCCGCTATCCCGGGGTTGAGGGAGCGGAGCCGAAACTCGGGGACCCCTCGACACACGCTGCCGAGCCCTCAACTGGCCTCGTGCTGTGTCACATGAGGCTAAACGCGCCTCAGGCCGCGTCACATGACTTCCTCCCATGAGCCCAGCTCGCTGCCCCGGTGCTGGGTCAAACCCCCGCTGCCGCCATTTACATCTCGCTCCCTAACCGCGGTTCCGCAGATTGCCTCTCCGAGCCAGGCGGGCGCCAAGAACAGCCCCACAGTGGGGCCTAGCCGGGACCGGAAGGGGTCCTCATGCTCCCGGAACTAATTCTGAGCAGGGCCAAGGCGGGACCGGACGCTACCGAAGCTGATATTGAGTGGGCCGGAAGTAGCTATGACAGACCGGAAGGGATCCTACGCGTTCCCGGAAGTGTCCCGGCGCGGGGAACGGAAGAGAAGGCCCCGCTCCCCGGCGAACATCCAAGATGGCGGAGGTGGTGAGTGGGGTCCGGAGGGTGGGGTCCGGCAAGGTGGGGGTGGGATTCCTGGGAGTCCCCGCTAACCGTTTTGCATCCCGCCCGCAGGGGGAGGTGACCGAAGGCTGCCGCCTGCCCGTGTTGCGTCGCAACCAGGACAACGAAGATGAATGGCGTAAGTGAAGGGCGGGGCCAATTGGAAGGGGGTGCGGCCTAAGGGGGAGGGGAGGGGCTAGAGGGTATATGAGTACGATGGGGGCTATCTGGAGAGGAGGAGGGGGTGGGACATGTAGGGCTGTGGTGCTCCCTGTGGGAAGGGAGGGTCTTAAGGAGGCTATAAGGTTGGGGCCAATGAAGAGATGGGGTGGAGGGGGAGATGGGCCAATGGGGGGGCCCTATTTGCAAGAAGGGTTAAGGTTGGGATATTTATGGAAGATGGAACAGGGAGTGTGATGGGGCAGTAAGCATGTGGAGCTGGGCCCCTCTTTCTTGGAGAGCCCTTGAACCCAGATTGTGGGGGTGGTTGGTCATCTCAAGTCCTTGACATCCTCCAGGTCTGAGTTTTAGGCTCCCTGGGGAGGGAAATGTAGGCCAGTCATTTTGGACCTACCTGCCCATCTCCTGAATAGGATATGGGGTGCCCTAAGTGTGTGTGATAACCACCTCCTCTTCAGGTTATGATCGAGGACCCCAGGGCAGCATTTGAAGGCAGGGGCTAGTCACACACTGGGCGAGGGAGACACTGGGTAATACCCAGAAAGAACAGGAGTACTTGTGGCACATTAGAGACTAACAAATTTATTAGAGCACAAGCTTTCATGGGCTACAGTCCACTTCATCAGATACATAGAATGGAACATATAGTAAGAAGAGATAGATATAGATATAGATATATATATACAGATAAGTTGGAAGTAATACCCAGGGTACTGCCCCAGAATCAGAATGGTCTCATGTAACTGTAGAACTGTATTGAGGACATGTACTGCAGGAATGCGCTGGCCTCTGAGTGGTCATTGGTAATTACAAATACAGATGATTCCTTGTGCACCTTTCTCCCCAGTTGCTTGTTACCTCTCATCATATCCTTGGACTGTGAGCTCTTTCCAGCAGGGATTGTCTCTCATTTTGCAGTGCCTGGCACCATGGGGAGAAGCCCGGATACTGATAAGGGTCTGGCTGTTGTCTGGCACAATGGGCTCCTGATCTGTAATTAATCTAGGCCCTATCATGATACAAATAGTGAATAATAAAAAAGGTGTAGATAGTAATGCCAGAGATCTCAAAGCTCCATGAAGCCTCAATCCCAGGCAGGTCACTAGTATTATTCTCATTTTATAGATGGAGAAATTGAGGCATAGGGAGGGAAAGAAACTTGTCCATAGTCACATGTCAAATGGCAGAACTAGGAACAGCATCTTCGAGTCTTGACTCCTACTCCTCTGCTCTTTCCAGTAGGTTCAGAGATTTTTGAAGTCCATACTCCCTTCCCAGGGCTGTCAAGAGAACCAATAAGTTCCATGCCTCCGATGCTACAGTTATGGACGGCAGTACAAAGCCCCTTCTCTAAAGATTACTCTTCACTCCCCTCACAGAGCCAGGAATAGAGCTCAGGAGTTCTGACTCCCAGGGCACTCTTTTATTAATATATAATTAATCACACCATTTGTGTATTAATTATGATTTATAATGAATGACATAGACACAGAAAATGTTGGCTGTAGTGAAATGCTGCCAGAGTTGGGACAAAACCAAGCTCTAGCATGAAAAATGTTTTATTCCAGTGAAATCCAAACAGCATGTGTTTTTCCAGACACTCCTGTAATAACATGATAACTTCTCATATGTCTATATTATCACCCTCCCAAGTTCTGCGACTATTTATCCTGCTACATTCAATAGAATCATGTGGGGCATTGCCCTAAATATGTAACTAACTTGCAGAGGGTATTTTTATTTTATACTCTTCACAGCCTTCCCACTTAAACAATTCCACGAGCATAGGTGTAAAATCTCTTACTTCGCAGTGGAATAACCTGATACAGGGTGGATTCCCCCAATATTTAGAGGATGGGAAGATTCCAAAACTCCTGGTTTTTTTCCTGTTGACCCTGGATAGTCTCATTATCCCTATAAACCCCCAGTCTCTTTTGGGATCCTGCACTCAGCTGTGTCAATGAGTTCCAGAGGCTGATGGTGTATTACATGAAAAAGAATGTCTTTTGATCGGTTTTGAAGTTTCTCTGAAATTCCCATTGCTCTTGTGCTATGAGACATGGAGAACAGAGGTTCCCATCCCCATTCTCGACCCAGTCATTCTTTTATGTACTTTTATCATGTAACATTTTCTTCATCTCCTCTGTAAGACAAACAATCCCAGTCATTTCATCTCTCTTCCCAGGAGAGTTCCCCCACCCCACCCCCCGCAGGTGCCTATTGCTCACCTATCTCTGAACCCCCCTCAAATTCTGCTACATCCTTGTTGAGCTGGGGTGACCAAACCTGAACGCAGTGATCATGGATTCCAAGGGCAGAGAGGACTGGCCATCCATTCTGACCACCAGCATCACCCGAGCAAGAGAATCCATCACAGCCATTCCTGCATCCAGCCCAGATGTGGTGGTCAAGCTAGAGTGCAGCTTTTAGAAAGAAATGTCTAATCTTGATTTTAAAGACTCATTTCTAGCCTGAATATCCAGCTTCCAGCTGTTGGATCACCTTCTAACTTTATCTGCTACATTAATGAGCCCTCTGCTGTCAAGAATCTTCTCCCCATGTAGCATGGTCCAGTCACTTTTTAACTTTCTCCTGTATAAGCGACATAGATTGCACTCACTGTCAGGCAAGTCTTCCAGACCTCAAATCATTCTTTTAGCTCTCTTTCCAATTTTTCAGCTTCCTTTTTGAAGTGTGGCCATCCGAATGGGACACAGTATCCAGTAATGCTATTATATTATTATTATAGTCCATCGTAACTCCTGCTTGAGGTACTTCTGCTTATCCATCCAAGAATTACATTCACCCTTTTAGCTACAGCGTCACACTGGAAGCTCATATTCAGCTGGTTATTTATCATGAACCTATGTCCTTTTCAGAGTTGCTGCTTTCCACAGTACAGTACCCATCTTAAACAGTTGACCTGCACTCTTAGCTGTGTGACCTTGCGCCTTTGGGACCTATAGTAGTTAAAAGTAATGCCCAAGATGACTAGAACCGAAGGAATTGAATCAAACTAATATACATATTTTTCTTTTTACCCAGATTGTTCATTGTGTGCATTTGACAGCTCAATGCAGTTTCACTCTTAACTATCCATAGTCAAATTCTTCATTGCTGGAAAAAAACCCTTATAAGCATCAACATGGGGTTAGGAAAAAAAACCCTTCTAAAAGTGTTTTGAAAGAAAACAATATTTGGGAGATTGCCCCTGATCCCGCAATGCCCAGCACTTCCCATTGAGTCCTCTAGCATGTTATAGAGCGCAGCATCACAGCTGAAGTGTTTCGTGGGAAACAGTGTCACAAACTCAGGTCTTATCAAAATATGGCAATTTCGAAAAATTGTCAGTCTCTGTGTAAAATATGCTGCCTTCACCACTCATTGTTGGGGTGGTATTTATATGGAGGCAGTTGGGTCTAGTGGTTAGAGCTGAGGGCTGGGAGTCAGGACTTCTCGTTTCCACAGCCTGGATGCGGAAAGGGAGTAGAAAACTAGGGGCCAGGCCACCTGTGTTCTTTTCTCAGCTCTGGGAGGGGAGAGGGAGAAGCAGGGGTGTGGGGGGGGGGAAAGAGATTTGGGCACAACCCTCCCATTGCAGCACCTAACTTCATGCAGCCTGTTGTCACTGTGTTTCCCCCTGCCCATTTCTGGTGTCAAGCAGCCACTCTGTGCATTCTGTTCCTAGCGCTGGATCCTTGTGGTGTATAAACATTACAAGGGAGGGTTTCTTGCATCTCTGCTCTGACTGGAAATTTCCTCTGAAATGCTATTTCCTTCTCCCCCTGCAGCTCTGGCGGAAATCCTCAGTGTTAAGGACATCAGTGGCCGGAAGCTTTTCTACGTGCATTACATTGACTGTGAGTAAACTGGCTGGCCCTTGGCTGATTGGGAATCAGACTAGGAAATTACTGACACAGGCTGGTCCAGAACATGAATAAAAATAGGGAGTTCCTCTGGATTCTGGGGAATTGGATACGGGGTTTTCCCCTCTAGTGCATGTTGTCTCAAATCTGGCCTTATACTGTGGGGACTGGCTGGCTCAGAGGGGGAGTGGGACACTGGGCCTTTCCCCTCTAGGGGGTGCTGGTTCTGATCCAGCTCAAGGAACTCCGGATCCTTTGAGGTTTCCCATCAGAGTACTGTGGCAAGTGGGGTCGGGGACCCAGTAGGTGGTGCGCTTACTTCAGAAGCAGAGCTGACCCCACTGCCCAGGGGGCACTGTGCTGTTTGTCCTGTTTGGGGGGGTCCCCTGTTGCGCACACACACACAGGTGGGGGCGTTACGTATATTGGCCGTAGTTATGAATGTCCCAAGTTCCTGGGCGTGTTACTTTCCCGCCTGAAGACCTTTCCCCTCTCATCATACACCTCACTCATATGAGGAAGCCAGGACTCCTGCTTCTGGAGCCGAGACTGATGGAGGTAAATGTTCAACGGTCCAAATGGCCAGAGGGTGGTGCTGTTCACCAGTATGAGGCATTGCCTTCCCCTCTGCAGCTCATCCATCCCTCTCCAGCCTTGGGCAGTCTTAGCACCACTTTTCTGCCTGGGACTGGCTGTCTGCAGGGGCCTCTTTCCTCCTCTCCCATCACCCTAACAGAGAGCACCACTAACCTGGTCTCCCCACCACCGCAGTTAACAAGCGTCTGGATGAATGGGTGACCCATGACCGGCTGGACCTGAAGAAGATCCAGTTCCCCAAGAAGGAAGCCAAGACTCCCACCAAGAATGGGCTGCCTGGCTCCCGACCCAGCTCCCCAGAGCGGGAAGTGGTAAGAGGAGCTAGCCACAGGCCAGGGAGAATGCTAGTGCTGCTTTGGGGATTCTATAGGGGGCAGTCTGGGATGAGAGTGCTGGCCTGGGGATCAAGATGGTTGGAGGGTCTTGGGATTGCAGGGAGGGATGGGGAGATGTGGATGCTTACCCAGAAGAGTGTTCTCCCTGATGGCTCAGGCCGGCTCCCTCCACCTGATCCTGACTTAGGGGTTGCAAACACAGGTCTCCAAGGCAGGGATGCTAGAGTACTCCTTATCCCAAGAGCAGGGCCCACATCTCTCTGGACCCACATATTCCTCTCGCTGCCTGGCCCATGCGAGCTGGGACAGTGGCGCCATGCCCCCCTCACCTGACCAGCAATGCATCCTCTCCCCCAACGGGTGTGTTGGTAACTCCCCCACCATCTTCATCCCTACTCAGAGGAAGACCTTGGATCTGTCTCTACAACCTGCCTCAACTCCAGCCAGCGGTAAGACCCTGCCCATCCCAGTGCAGATAACGCTCCGCTTTAACCTACCCAAGGAGAGGGAGGCTGTTCCCGGGGAGCCTGACCAACCCCTCTCCTCCAGCTCCTGTGTCCAGCCGAACCATCGGACAACGGTACGCACCGGTGCTGGGGATACCTCCCCCACCTCGTGTCCTCAGCATGGTCTGGGCATGGCCACAGGCTGGGATCGCGCCAGGTCACACAAGCTGGCCGGGGTCGGGCTGGGTCTGGACTTGCATGGGAGGCCCCCAAGGCATGGTGCTGGGGATTCACTAGGGGGCATTCTCCCCACACCCAGAGCCACACAGAGCTCACTGTCCTTCATATCATGATGCTAGTGTGGGGAATAGGGGCTCAATAGGGGGCGCTCTTCCCTCACAGTTAGTGTGAAGCTAAAGGGTGCAGTGAGACCTCAATCAAATGATGCAGATAAGGAACCACTCTTGGTCATTAAAAATCTCTCAACCCTTCCCTCAGAGTCTTGGGGTGAACCACGGTGTCCTAGCCAAATCAGAGCTTGGATGATTACTTTCTGCCTCCCTAGAACTTCATGCAGTTTTAGCTGGAAAAGAGATTCTTATCCTCCTGCTCTACGCTGTCTTGCAGCACTGTTGTGTGCTGTTAAACAGCCCTCAGATCCCACCCCAGAGCGGGACGTCTCTCAGCGCCAGGCCAGGGATCTCTGTATAAACAGCCCTGTGCCCCACCCCAGAGGCAGCTGCAAGTCAGTGCTGGGTGAAGGATCCCCATATAAACGGCCTAGAAAGTTTTTTTTGAGATTACAAGACACTGTGATGCCCGTACATCTGCAGATGAGAAGCTGCGTCCGTGGGGAATGCTGTGCAGGGGCGGAGGACTGTGAAGCTTTGCAACATCCCATGTGGATGAACCATTTTTTGGGTCTGTTTCAGAAACGGAAGGTGGAGGTGGTTTCCCCAGCAACCCCCGTCCCTGCTTCCACAGAGACCACTCAAGCCTCTGTGTTCCCCCAGGTAAGAGCAGAGGGGTTGATAGG